GAGGAGGAGGAGGAGGAGGAAGAGGAGAAGGAGGAGGAGGAGGAGAAGGAGGAGGAGGAGAAGGAGGAGGAGGAGAAGGAGGAGGAGGAGAAGGAGGAGGAGGAAAAGGAGGAGACGACAACGATGACATTATTTCTGGTAGTGCACAACTGTAAGCCCAGCACTCCAGAGACAGAGGCAGATCAGTGCAAGCTCTAGGCCAGCCAGGACTACACAGTGAGACACGGCCCAGAGGCTGAGTGCACATACTGCTTTTGCAGAAGACCTAAATTCAGTTCCCAACACCCACATCAGTTTCACAACTGCCTGTAACTTCAACTCCATAGAGATCCACTGTGTCCAGTCTCTGTGGGCACCTGCACTCACATACACATACCCACACATACATACACATGATTAAAAATAAAATCTTTTGTCAGGCATGGTGGCGCATGCCTTTAACCCTAGAACTCAGATGGCAGAGGCAAGTGGATCTCTGTAAATTCAAGGCCAGCTTGGTCTACATAGTAAACTCCCAAGTCAGCCAAGGATACAAAGTAAATCTCTCTCTCTTAATAAAAAAAAAAGACTCTAGGGCTGGAGAGATGGCTCAGTGGTTAAGAGCACTGGCTGTTCTTCCTGAGGTCCTGAGTTCAATTCCCAACAACCACATGGTGGTTCACAACCATCTGTAATGAGATGTGGTGCCCTTTTCTGGCCTGCAGGCATAATATATACATAATAAATAAATCTAAAAAAAGAAGACAAAAAGCAAAAACTTGCAAGACATAATCGGTTTCTGCATTACCTTTTGTGAACAGTTAGTCTGGCTCTGGGGGACATCTGCCCCCTCCCCTGGCTTCTCAGAGCATCTGGACACTGTGCTAGCATTAGACGCTCAGTTCTGACACATTTCCACCATGAGCTATTCTAAGAGTTTGGGAAGTAGGCAGAGTTTACAGCTCTGACTCTCACTCACTTGGACAGGAGCTAAGCTAGGATACAGCTTTAGGGACAGAGCACAAGACATTGAGCTCAGTCCCCAGCATGAACAAGAAAAAATGGCCGGTCCATACGTCCATGCTTAACCAACCTCGCTCAACACCCAGTACACTAAGTTTAAATCACCCACCACTCTTTGGGCCATTACAGAGGAATGGCGGCCCTTAAGGACCTTTCGAAAGTTGGGCCCATTGGTCTTCTCTGTACTGCCCAGTCCCAGGAAGCTAGTGGCTCAGCGCCTTGGCCTCCTTCCCGTCCCTGCTAACCCTGTGATGGGGGAGAACATGGCCCCCTGTACTCACTGCTGTCGCATCATTGGAATATTGACACAGTTAGCAGCAGCCACAGCGGCAAAAGGCACCCATCGGCCCACCAGGGGTGGGGCTCTCTGTTGAAGGCAGGGAACAATAGAAGTTATTCAAGCTCATACGAAGACGGGGTAGAAAAGGCCTTGGATTATACAGGGAGAGAGGCAATTAAACACTGCTAGTGACATATGTCCAGACATCCACTCTGGAATCTTCAAACTCCTTATAAGCCAGAAAAGCTGTTTTCTCTGGAACTCTGCTGCCCTCTGGTGGCCAGTGTGCCCACAGCACCCCAGCCACACGTACCTTTGTCCACATGTTCATGCCCACGGCAGTGGCCACCGCAGTGGTGGTAGCTGTGAAGTAGGAGAGGGCCATCTGCCTAGTGAAAGAGAAACGCCAGATGGATGAACACGTAGGTGTTGGGAGTGGTGTCACAGTGGCTCAGGCAAGGCCAGGGACTTTAGTGAGTAACTGGGCTTCAGGACTCGTGTGACCTCTCTAGAGTCATCTCACACCCCCGTTACCATCACTCAGTGCCTAGCACCCTTGGTCCTCTTTCAAAGCATTAAACACATCACACTTTTTTCTGCCTCAGAACCAATGTATATTGCTGCTCCCTGTGGAGAGAACTCTCCTACATGTTTGAATCCTTATGCTGGCTAGTTTTATGTCAACTTGACACAAGCTAAATTCATCTCAGGAGGGACCTTCAATTAAGGAAATGCCTCCAGAAGATCAGGCTGTGGGGAAGCCTTTGGGTCATTTTCTTAATTAGTGATTGATGGGGGACAGCCATCCCTGGGCTTGTGGTCCTGGGTTCTATAAGAAAGCATACTGAGCAAACCAGAGGGAGCAAGCCAGTCAGCAGCACCCCTCCGTGGCCTCTGCATCAGCTCCTGTCTACTGTCCTGCCTGAGTTCCTGCCCTCCCTGCTTTCGGCTATAAACTGTTCTATGGAACTGTGAGTGAAATAAACCCTTTCCTTCCCAAGTTACTTTTCATGATGGTTTCCCCTCAGCAATCGTAACCCTAGCTAAGAACGCTGATCTTTCAGAACGCTGCTGGATGCCATCTCTACAGAAGGGACTTCCCAAGGAGACAGTCTGAACAGAGCTCCACTGCTGTCCTGTCACCACTCATCTCCATGACAACAGCAATGGAAAGCTGGGGTCACTGTAGACTCTTCCAAGTGTTTGGTTTGGTTTGGTTATTGAACAGGATCTCAGCATGTAAGCTGGCCTTGAACTCACAGAGATCTGCCTGCCAGCCCTGTTAGAAGATCTTTAAACAGAGACTGCTATGTTTTATTCATCAGGGAATCTCAAGCCTCTAGAACCTTGCCTGGCACATTAATTCTGGAACTAGAAAGATGGCACGCTTAGTGGTTAAGAGGACCCAGGTTCAATTCCCAGCTCCCACACCCAGTGACTCATAACGCCTGCAACTCCAACTGGAGGGTATCTAACTTCTTCTTCTGGCTTCTGCACACACACGTGGCAATCAGTAACAAAACACACACACAAACAAAAACAAATCTCGGGGCATGAGAGATGGTTCAGTGGTTATGAGTCCTGTTTTAGTTTTGATTTTAAGACAAAGTAGCCCAAGCTGGACTGAAACTCACTGAGATCCCCTGCCTCTGCCTCCTGAGTGCTGAAATTAAAAGTGTGAGCCACCATGCCCAGCTTTGTTTCTGTTTCTTAGTTTAAAGTTATGTGTGTGTACATGTGTGCATGCATGCAGACATGTAGAGGTCAGACATGTGAAGGTAGATCCTCCCGAGCTGGACCACCTGATCTGGGTGCTAGGAATTGGACTTAGAAGCTCTGGAAATGCAGGGCATGCTTTTAACTACGAAGTCATCTCTAGAGCTCAAGAGCACTGGCTGCCCTTGCAGAGGACCCAGGTTGTGCTCCCAGCACCCACATGGTGGCTCACAGCCATCCATAACTCCAGCTCCAAGGGATCCAATGCTCTCTTCTGATTTTTGCAGTCACCAAGTATACATGAAGTGCATAAACAATAACACAAAATAAATAAATCTAAAAAGTAAAAATAATTTTTTTTTTTAAAAAAAGAAAAGAATAGCCAGGCGGTGGTGGCACACGCCTTTAATCCCAGCACTTGGGAGGCAGAGACAGGCGGATTTCTGGGTTCGAGGCCAGCCTGGTCTACAGAGTGAGTTCCAGGACAGCCAGAACTACACAGAGAAACCCTGTCTCGAAAAAAACAAACAAAAAAAAAAAACAAAAAACAAAAAAAAGAAAATAATATATCCATCAAATGAATGGGTATTTTGAAATGGTCTGGGGAAAAGCTAAGTCTCAGTTGGTCTTAATATTTCAGATGCTGGGAAAGGGTAACCTGGTCACCTGCCCAGAGTGGGCCCCACTCAGAAAGAAAAGACAGTCCAAGAGCAGAAGGGCTGCTCAGGGAGGCAGAGGGTAGCCATCTCCTACCTGACTGACGTGGGGGAAGCTGCGTTCCTGTTGGTGTAGTTGACCAAGGCATTAAAGGACTGGTTCACCCACTGCCAGAAGATGACCGCAGGCATTGTCCTAGAGGAAGGGAGGCAGGACAGATGAAGAGGGCCTGGGGTGTACTGGGTACCACAGCCCTGCAGCTCCCAAGACAGTGCCATTCATTTTTATGCCCCCGGGCTTTTGGATGGGACGAGCCCGCCCCCTGGGAAACTCCTCCTCCTCTCACAGGATCCTGCTCTGTCGGGATACTTTCCTTCTTGAAATTTTTCTGACCCTTCTTCTGCCCTTCCTGAGACAATGACTCCATGTGTCCTGTTCCCATCACTCAAAATTCTCCCCCTTCCCAAAACTACTACTTCCCAATCTCCATTATGCTGTGTCTCCAAGAGGGGAGACCCTAAAATATTTAATCCCTGACACCTAGACCACAGCATAGCTCAACAACTAACTAATGAACAGAGAGGGGTAGAGGACTCAGAGGGGGAAGGGAGGGAGGGAGAGTCAAACATCAAAAGCGTATTCCCCTCCCAACCAAGAAGAGCAAGAAAGGGGCTTTCTGTTTTTCATTTGGGTATCAAACATTCAAAACATAAATACACTGTGGAATTTATACTTTTAAGAATTTAGGGAGCTGGAGAGATTGTCTCAGCAGTTAAGAGCACTGACTGCTCTTCCAGAGGACCTGAGTTCAAGTCCCAGCAACCACATGGTGGCTCACAACCATCTGTAATGGGGTCTGATGCCCTTTTCTGGCATGTCTGAAAACAGTGTACTCACATATATACAATTTTTTTTTTAAAAAAAGCGGATCTTCCCACTTCAAATTATTAAAACAAAACAAAAAAGCCTTACTCCTTTAACTCAATAGAAGTAGAGGCAGGTCGAAGAGTTCTAAGTCAGCCAGGGCTACATAGTGAGACTCTCAAAATAGTAAGCCTAGTAAGACTAGTAATAGTACAACACTCCTCGGGATGGCTAGCCGACTGAGCACTCAAGGTCTGTCGGCATCACCATCAGGCCCCTGCAGTTCTGCGTGAGGTCATGAACGGTCACTTAGCCTCTAGAGTCCCATCTAGCAAAGGGAGAAGATAGAGAGCCTGTGTGTAGGGCTGAGAGAGGGGAAAGGCCATTCACAGAAAGAACTTAGCATGGTGTCCATATCCAGGAAGTGACTGATCAAGAGGACTGTTATTACAACTTGGCCCCTCCTCCGTCTTGGACTCACCTGTAGAACTGGAGCATGAAGCCCGTGATGATCATGCCACCGGGGACCTGGAAGGACATCCGCCCGATGACATTCATCTTCTCCCCAGTGTCAGGGTGGAAGGCCGAGTCGTAAAGCTTCTTAGCATACAGCAGCTGCTCCACCTGAGTGCCAGGAGGCACAAGTCCCATCCTGTCACCCAAGGACAGCGTCAGTGACACTCTGACCTGACCCCTGCCTCCTGCCTCCCTGAGACCTCTGCCAGCTCCTCTAGCTCCAGCTTCTCCCTCCCCTAGAGAGCTCAGCAGCTCTCGATGATGGTTATGCTGGTCCCTCCAGCCCCTCCCCCACCACTCACTCACCTGCTCTTTTCCACCACCACCTTGGCCCAGTCCAGCTCCTGCTCGGATGCAAAGACAGTGCGAGGATCCGTGATGTTAAGGAAGTGCTTCACACGCCCCAGGAAAGTGCACTGGTCCCAGCGGGGAGCATCAATGTTAAAGTCGGACAGGTCAGCCTCCATGGTGTTGAAACACAAACTACAGACATAAGGAGAAGAAGAATGAGAGTCGATCCCTTAACCAGTTTTCCCCAGAGGCCTTGGCAGTCAGGGACCCTAAGCATCCCCTGTGATGATCTAGGGGCCTGTAATGCTTTGTATATGCTCGGCCCAGGGAGTGGCACTATTAGAAGGTGTGGCCCTGTGGGAGTAGGTGTGTCACTGTGGACTTGGGCTTCAAGACATTCATCCTAGCTGCCTAGAAGTCAGTCTTCTGCTAGCAGCCTTCAGGTGAAGATGTAGAACTCTCAGCTGCTCCTGCACCATGCCTGCCTGGATGCTGCCATGTTCCTGCTTTGATGATAATGGACTGAACCTCTGAACCTGTAAGTCAGTCCCAATTAAATGTTGTCCTTATAAGGGTTGCCTTGGTCATGATATCTGTTCACGACAGTAAAACCCTGAGACAGGGCCCTTGTGAACGGTGATCATACTAAGCAACTGCCAGTTAGCGTTTCCTGGTCCATGTTAGTACCAGCCTTGTGCCTGATCACACGAAGGGAGACAGTGTCGGCCACAGAGGAGCTCAGTCTGACTCAGCAGCAAGGACTCATCAGAACTAGCATAATACCCCCCTGGTGCTAGCAGAGAAATAGGGAAAGTAGGCATTCAGAACTAAAAGCCCTCTGCGCTTCACCAGGCCTGGCTTCAGAGAAACTGTCTACCGCAGTCTAACCACCACGGCACATCACACCTGCAGTCGGGAAGCAGAGAATCATGAATGCTGGCATCCAGTCTCCTACAGCTATCTACCTCATCTAAGGGGGTTGGGCAAGGGGGGGCCCTGGAAACATCTATGGAAAGGGCGGGGCACAGGCTGACCAGAAGACACACCAGATTTGTCTGATCACAGCAGCTTTCTAAAGCCTTGGCATACAAGTAGGCAGTCTGTTACTCTTACACTCTGGATGCCTGGAAATCCAAAAGGCAGTTCTACTTCTACTGCAAGTCCAAGAAGCAGTCCGCTCCTTCCAGCCACAGCTGCGGTGATCGCTGTCACCTGGGCAACCAAACTTGGGAAGACAGTTCCACAAGTGGTTGTCTTCAGCAGCAGGGGCTCTCTCCTCTCACTGAATTTGCATTTTCACAAAGTGGAAACTTGGATGGGTAAGTGGTCCACAGGACATCTTTCTCATTACCCATCCCAGTGGAAAAGAGCAGGGGTTCTCTTTCATGTCCTTTTCACAACTGTAGCTGCTTATGACCCTGTAGCCTAGCCTGTGACCCTGTAGTCTAGCTTATGACCCTGTAGTCTAGCCTGTGACCCTCTGTTTCGCATCTTTCTGCCACTGTAGGTCTAAGATCAGTGAGCAGTAACCACGTAGCAGCCTAGATGTTATGCTGTCTTCAAATTTCCAAACAATTTAGCCAAAACATCAAATACGAATTCCTTTTTAACTTGTCCTCACTCAAACTTTAAAGCTTTGGGCAGAAAGCCTATTAAACGCCAGGATGGAACACGGATGCCCTCTGGCCCTGTTTCCAGTAGGGTCCTTGCTTCCTTCTGGAAGCTCCAAAGGCAAGCTTCCACCATCTGCATTTCTTTCACATGTTTCAGACTCCAACCAAATGGCCCACTGGGTTCTGCTGACTGGTTTTGAGGGCTTTCATAGCCTGTGGCTCCAAACTCATCCATCCATAGTCCGTCAGCACACCCAAGGCCTGCGAGCCACGTGATCGGGTGGAACACAGCGATAGCCCTTCTTCTTACAATTCTGGGGCTAATTCTTGTTGCAACAACAAAACAAAGTACGGAAGTTAGGAGGGAGAGGGAGCAGGGTATTTTGGCCCATGGTTCATAAGAATGCATCCCACGGTGGCGAGGAAGGTCTGGTGGTAGGAGAGTGAAGTGGCCGGGCACACCGTGTCTGCATCAGGAAGCAGAGAGAGACAAAAGCTGGTGTCCACCTTGTTTCACTCTAGGACCTAAGCCTATGGTTGGTGCCAACTACATTTAAAGCGCATCTTTCCTACCCAGTCAAACCTCTCAGGAAATACCCACCACAGGTGTGCTCAGAAGTGTGTCTCTGAAGTGATTTTGAATGCAGGCAAGCTGACAGTGAAGATGAACCATCACAAGGGTCATCTGCCTCCCCCCACCCCTTAAAAAAAAATACCACCTTACTTAAATATTCACCTGTAAAGTTGGGAAATGTATTCATTTTGCTCAATGGCTGTCCTGAGGCCTAGCACAGAGTATTTAGTGTCCTGGGAGAAAGTCCAGCTTGCCAGCAGGTAGGTATGACAGCTTGAAAGTACAGATGCATAGGCTAGAAGGAAAAGAACAGCATCAGCAGCCCTGAAGTCACTAAAGACTAAAATTTGAAGATAGAGGGAGAGGAGAGGAGGAGAAGAAGAGGGGAGAGGAGGGGGGGGGCCGGGAAGGGACGGCGAGGGGAGGGGAAGGGGAGAGAGAAAGCATGCTGAGGATAAGCCCTAAAGAACTGCTATGTTTAAGAGGCGAACTACGATAGGTGGTCTCAAAGATGGTGAAGAATGCAGGAGAGGGAGGCAGGCGGAAGCAACGGGTGGGGGATGGAGAATAGAGGTCAGCTTCTACGTTGTTGTAGTTGTTAGGGTGGGAGAGACTTTAGGTTGGTACACTGCAGAAACTGAATCCAAGAGGCCAATATGCCCACAGCACTTCTGCCTGCCCTTAAAATGGTCTTAAGTGACGATCTCTGGAGAAGGCAGAAGCTGAACTGCAAGTACCATTGACAGAATTAAGATTTCTGCCTGCCCACCCCCCCCCCCACCCCCCCCCCCCCCCGCCTCTCTCCTTGATCACTTCCTAGATACAACAGGGAGCTAAAAGGAGTCTAACTGGGAAGTCACACATTTTCTTGGTTTGCAGAGTCATGGGCTGAGAACAGCTTGACTGAGCTCAACAGAGCAAGTTGCCATGCTCCCAACAGACACATGTGTGCACATGCCAGCTATACACCTACATGTACAATGCACATCTACAGAGCCAACCTTCTCTGGCATCTCCTCCCACCTTCAACTTAACATTACAGAGTCCTCTGCCTTTCACACAGAAGCCCCTTTGCCAGGATGCGGCAGACATACACTAAAGTATGTGGGTGACATTTGTTCTCTGTACTATTTATTTTTGTTTTTGTTTGTTTTTTGTTTTTTGGTTTTTTTTGTTTTTTTTTTGTTTTTTTTTGAGAGGGAGAGGCACATGCAATAGCGCACATGTGGAGGCCAGGGAACAACCTCTGGGAATCAGTTTTTTCCTTCCACTATGTGGGTCATGGGAATTGGGCTAAGGCAATCACTTTTGCTTTCTTTACTGACGTCAGGATAGAATGCACACTGTGCTTGGTTGGTTTTTTGGGGGTTTGTTTTTGTTGTTTTCTTTTTTTAAAAAATAAACTATATGGTTCCTCCCCAAATCTACATTATGTATCTGAAACATCACCCCACAAAGGGGATAGTTCCCTGACTCCTTCAGGTCCTCTAGTTCTGAGCCCTCACAGCATCCTGCCCTTCCCCACAGCATCCTGCCCTTCCCCACAGCA